ACAAATGCAGACAGGAAGAAAGAACTTCTGTTTATGCTTCTTTTTTCTACCCCTCTCTGTTGTGTTCCTTGCATAATATTTCCTTTTGTCCTTCCTTATTTGTATTCTTTAATTGTAATTTCAGAACATTTTTTGTAATTGGTAACCTTTAATATCCTTAAAGATCATACATTTAAAATAATTACTTATAAACTTGATAAAAATGTTTGAATAATTTTTATACAGAATTCTTTTTCAGTTTTTCTATAAAGTTCTTTCTATAATTTTTCTATATTCTGCAGAAATAAGTCACAGAAAATAAAAAAAAGACCCTGGTGCATGAAGATGAGACTCTGCTATTTCTATATTAGTGCCAATTTTTTCCTGGCCATCTTTTATGCACATCGAATGTGGCCTTCTGTGAAAGCCTGAAGAGGAAGTGAATTTTCACAACAGTGTGGTCATTTTTGTTTTTTTTGCACTTGCATTTAGTCAACCACCCCACAAAACAAAAATACAAGTGATAAACATTGAAAAAATAAAAATAAAGAAAAAAATAAAGAAGATATTTTAAAAAGAAGAAGAAGAGAAAATAAAGAAGAAATTTTACCAAGAATTTCAGTGCTAAAATATCCAAAAAATAAAATAAAATAAATTTTTATTTATTATATTTCTATATTCATATTGATATTATGTATTATGAATTGCATTATGAATTTACTTGTATGATTCTTTGATTATTACTTTTCATATATTCATTTATTATTTGCTCATTTATTCATGTATTCTTTACATACATTATTTATGTATTCTATATTACTCAGCTGTGTGTGTCATGCATACGTGAGGATGATTCTGTTCAAGTCTATCTTCTTTAGTGTGTGTGTGTGTGTGTGTATTAGGTCAAGATTAAGACAGAGGTATACCTTCTTGGGCCCCTGGTCATTTCTGCGAATTTGCTTTTTAAATATTTTCTTGGAAACCACATCAAAGTCTGAAAGTGTATTTATTTTTGATCCAGACATATCAGGAGACCTGAGCTCGTTTAGCTCATCTTGCTTATCTTCTAAAGGTGTTAAAACCCACAATGCTTTTGGATGCTTTGCAGACTTATAGCAGTAGAGATGTGCAGGGTAAATAATATCTTTATACCATATGTCTGGCTAAACATGACTAAGCCCAAGGGTAGGGGGGCCCTATTTGCCTAGCTAAGTATGACCAAGCACAACTGGGGGCTTACCTTTCATTTATCAGATCTTGCTGAAGGTATAAGAATGTATGGACTTCCTGACTTGCACTGAAAAAAATTATACTATTTTTTTAAGGTAAGTGGTTGCAAACAACTTATTTTAGCTACATTAAAAAAAAAAAAAAACATGTTGAAAGTTAGTCAACTTAATTTGTTTATTTAAATATAGCTAAAATAAATTGATTGCAACCACTTACCTTAAAATTTTTTTGTAAATTCAATGAATCTTTTTTTTTCAGTGTAGGGGCTTTTCTATACTTTTACACTTCTCTTCGCTTCTACTTCTCCTTTTCTTCTCTCTATTAGGCACCTATATCTCCTATTGATTTTTTGTATTTTAAAGGTAGACTTACAGTATTTGACTCAAGACCCAGATATAAATATAGTGTTGTATTACTCAAATAATCTATTGTATTGTAAAATGATTGGATTGACTATATTCATTCAAACTTAATGTTTCAGCTTCAATTATGATTATTGTATTCCTCATTTGCATATTTGAAACTTTAAATACTTTAACTTCAACTTTAAGTTATCAAACTAAATTGATAACTTTTTCTGCACCAGCACGTCTGACTGACCTGGATCTGATTTGTATCAGTATGGTTGCAGATTTAGCCTAAATTAACTTGTTACTCATTAGTGGCTAGCTAGTTTGTTGGTTTGTAGTTACTGATAATCTTTTTTATATAAAATTGAAGTAAAATATTTGTTTGATCATTTTTCTTAGAATAACCTTGGTAACATGACAGAATGGTTGAGTTTGTTGAATCCAGTCAACACTAAAGTATAAAGAAAGATACTTTTTTATGTTCTGATAATTTAAAGGGGTCATATGATGTTGCTAAAAATAACATTATTTGGTGTATTTGGTGTAATGAAATGAGTTTATGCGGTTTAAAGTAAAAAAAAAAAAAAAACATTATTTTCCACATACTGTACATTATTGTTTCTCCTCTATGCATTTGGGTGGCGTTATGCAAATCTTCCCACATAGTGACGTAGACATGTGGGGGCGTGTTAGAACGAGCTGTTTTAGGAGGGCGTGGTTGACTCTTAACTTTTATAAAGAATATCTCTTTGGATTTGAGACTTTAGTCTTTGCAACTTTACAGATCTTCGTTATGCACCAAGAGCTTGTAACACTTCAAAGAGAAAGGAAAAATTGAAATCGCATCATATGACCCCTTTAATTAAATAGTAGGTTCTAAAATAATTGCCTCTTTCTGAAGAACATGGGATTTGTGTATTTAAGGCTTTTTCTTTTTTTTTTTAGGGGTGTAAACTATATTCGTGAAAGATGGCACTTTTTTGTGACTTTTTTCACAAATCTCTTATACACCATCTCTGGCACAGCTGATAAGCATGAAGAACTGAAAGCTAGGGTCAGATTTCCCAACAAGCATGTGCACGCACACACGCACACATCCACAAACACTGGCTATTTCTGTCTTTTATATTCTGGAATAAATGAACCCTGGAAAATATAATTTGTTAGATTAGTTATTATTCTTACTTGGACAAAGATACAAACATGCCCACACATGCTGTTTACCACCAGCATTTACCACAGGGTATATCACACTTGACCACAAGCTGGCACTGATATCATCATACAAAAATAAATGTAAAGATGGAACCATGGAAAAAAAATGAATGTGTAAACTATCTAGCAAAGTCCTATTCTAGCAACAACAAAAAAATACACATTTAAATAAAACGGGTCATCTAACTTTATACGCAAAGTCGTCAACATTTCCACCAGGACTTTTTTTTCCCTTGACCTTTGGAATTTGATGATAAACCACTAGCGGTGGAACAAGTGATTGTTCGTTCGAATACATGGCACAACACAAAATGTTGTGCAGCTCCACCACCAGAGGGCCACCTAAATACTGACAGGCATGTCACTCATTAGGGGAGACTGGGGATGGTAACATGGGTCAGTTGTAACACATCCAGTTTCTCAAACAAGGAGCAAGTTACAAATCACCTAATTCACTTCACACTTTCTCAGTTTAGTCCTTATTCCACATATGAGAATGTAAATCCCTGTGGCAGGCACAGCAGATTTTAGAAGAAAAAAACTCATTTTGAGGTAAAAAACAAAAACAAACAAACCGAGTGGTGTCTCTAAATGTTCAAGTGTTCAAGTTCAGTTTTATTATGGCCAATTATGTCTGACATTAACGCACATGCATGTTATTCAGTTTTATTATTATGTTGCTAATGTATCACATACACAGAAACATACACCAATTATGTTGAAAAGTCAGTGTTAAAAAGCTTCTTTTTTTTTTTTTTTTGTCATAGTGTTTGTTGTATAATGTTACATCTCACCCTGGTGGATATCATAATGTTATATCTCACCCTGGGACTTTTCATAATGTTGCATCTCACCCTGGCGGATATCATAATGTTACATCTCACCCCAGGGTATGTTACATCTAACCCGGACATTGGGGATGAATAGTAACATTTCACTCCTTATGGGTTTGAAACTAAACCATGCATTTTTTGCTTGTGCTACAAAGATAACAGCTACGCCATTTAATAGCAGACAGTTGTAACTACTGTAGTTTGAATCATACGTTGAATGCTCTTGCTTAAAAAAACTTCAAGATACAAACAGAAATGTCAAAAATGTTCCAACCATCCCTGCTCTCCCCTATTTTGTCACAATCACTGCGAAATCTTGACTGCGTGTCTACAGTTCTGAGTAATTCACAATCTGTTATTATGTACGTAAACCTACTTAGATTATGTATTATTATGTAGATTTATTATTATTTTTTATCATGTTATGTATTTATTTACTTAATTAGGGTGATCATAAAGGTCCTCTTTTTTCCTGGACATGTCCTGGCTGGGATTTTTAAATTACTTAAAATGTCCGGGTTTTATCTTTGTTTTCCTATTGACAAGCTTATACATTGTATATACTGTACATGTATTTGTATTTGCATTGCTTCGATTGTGCTCTGTAGATCCCACCCTCTCACACACCCAGGGGCGTAAATTTCGTCTGACAGTTGGAGGGGACAATAAACATAAAATATCTCAAGAGCAATTTTTGAAGGGGACACAAATAATCCATCTAAAATTGTACTTGTAAGGACATGTATACACAGAGGAAAGCCTTACTATTAGTGCAGCAGGGAGACTGTACCAAATTAGATGACTTCAAGCTGTTGTGGTCACGCTGCATCAGAGGTCGTGTCCCCCCCGACCCCCCTGGATTTCCGCCTATGCACACGCCACGATTGGTTGATTATGTACAATGCCTGCACGCTATTGGTCAAAGTACTTTTCAGTCACTTCCTTCAGCAATTCAGCAAGCAAGCTGAAACCTGAGCATTTTAGGAAATTTAGAAATAAGACATAAGGTTACACTTGTTAACTGAATTTGTGTTGGCTTGCTGTTTTTCTGCAGTTCTGTTCATTCAAAATAAATAAATAAAATACAACCCTGACACTGTGGCACAACAAAAGCTAACTATATAGCACACACTTTAACAATTTAAATGGCTTTGTGATTTCTCTGTACTTAGAAATCTGCAGAATTGAATGTGTTTGTAGACAAAATGTGCACGTCTCCTCCCGCTTCCTGCCTGTCTTCCCTTGTTGCAAAAGAGCACACTTTAGAATGACTGAGCAAAAGATGCAGTGAGAAAACCTGTTCAGCATAAAATAGTTGATAGCATTTAACACTCAAACATAGTCTGTGCTGAACACATTGACAAAGGATTTCGCAGTGCTGTTTATCCTGAGACCAATAGTTTGGGCTGATTATTGCAAAAACGCCTACTGACACTGTGTGCAGGTAAGAACATAACAATTCATCACCAGATTTAGTTAACCATTTTGAAAGACATTTTACAATACAGGATTAAGGACAAGGATTAAATCATATTTGTTGCATGAATAATGTATAAAATATGAATGTTTAAATTAAAAATATTAAATAATTTTTAATTTGAAATCAAATGTAATAATATAAATAAAATACATTGATTAAATTGTAAATATATAGAGTGAATGAAATTCTAAATGTAATGGGAGCCAAAAAAGTAATAATAAAAAAAGGTTTTACTGGTTACCATATGAGTTAGCAGGGAAATTCAAAATCTATAGCTGAAATCAATGTTCCTATTATGACTTCTAAGTAAACGCTATCAGTTTAATAACCTGTGTCCTCTTGGTTGCCAGACAACTCTCATCATGTTTATCTAATTGTGAGGTGAAGCTCGTGAGACTAGCATGGTAACCGCACGCTTATGGTGTACAGATTGTGTAGACAGATCAAAGTTGAGTGCATAAGCATATGAAAAAAATATGAAAAGGCACCTTCTAAGGATTTATCTGTTGCTTGTAGAATGACCTCCAATACAACTCTTTCCCTTCACTCCAACTCCAAAATCTCAATGTACCATGAGAAAACGACAGTGGACATTGTCTTCTATACCATCATCGTTCTCCTCGGCACCACCGGGAACTCTTTGGTCATCTGGCTGGCCGGTTTCCGCATGAAACCCACCGTCACTAACGTTTGGCTGGTTATTCTCGCTGTAGCGGACCTGATCTTCTGCTTGACACGAGCTATTTCTCTCAACAAAATAATTTTCTATGACCACTGGCCTTTTGGAGTTTTTCTCTGCGAGTTCAATGGTTTCTTCAAGTATGCCAACATGTTCTGCAGTGTTTTTCTTCTGGCCGTCATCAGTGTGGATCGAGCACTCTGCGTTTGCCATCCAGTGTTCACCAGAGAACGACGGACGTTATGTGCTGCTCGTGTGGTCAGTGTGGGAGTTTGGATTGTGGCGGTGATCTTTAGTTCACCGTTCTTTGTGTACCGACAAGTCTTTCCCGGCAAGAACAATTTGAGCCACTGCTCATTCAAGGTCAGAATGGCTTTACAGATTACTGCATGCACAACATTTCAGTACATTGCATTAAGATTATATTTAGTATTATGTATTTATAATTTCATTAGCAGGAGAAAGGAGCAGCAGAGGGTGACAATTCAGCAAAGTATGTCTACTACTGCATTCGTTTCATCTGTGGATTCTTGTTGCCCTTCCTGGTCATCCTTATCTGTTACATACTAGCTGCTGTTGGGATACACAGAACGCGGCTCTCTGGAAAATCGAGGCCTCTTCGGATTCTTGCTGTATTGGTCTGTGCCTTTTTCTTATGTTGGGCTCCATACCACTTTCTAGGGCTGGTCAAGTTGGTGAATGAAGACAATGAAGCAGTAAAAGTGGCACTGAGTATGGCTTCAAAATTGGCCTATTTCAACAGCTGCATTAACCCGGTTCTGTATTTCAGCATGGGACTGGATGTTAGTCGACGCTGCAACCAAAGCCTGTCTGGGATTTTTCATAAAGCACTTATGGAGGAAGACCAAAGTCTCTCACAGCAAGGCACTAGAGAAGAAAGCTGTAATTCCATTCCAAACACTGCAGACATTGAGTTTGTCACCAAAGTTTAAGAGATTAATATCTAGATTAATATCTAACAAAATGAAAAGTTAATGCTTTAATATGTAGATGGAGCCTTTATGAAAATATTGCAAAATACTAGAAATATATGTCATTTTTTTTCATACAAATGTTTATGTGTCAATCGTACATTTTTATGATCGGCTATTTTTGCTTACACATGTTCGTTTGTTAATTAACAGGATGACATTGGCCAGAAGAGAAAACAGAAATTACTTGTAGCCTAATATGGGGTAAAGGGCACAATTTTTAGACCAGGATTGCATTACGACTGGGGTTAATCTGAGCTCATTTTTTATTGTTCATTTTATTCCTGTAATATTTGCCTTTGCAATAAATACACAGTGTATAAAAAAGGTGTCTGATGCAATTACTATTCATTAGAAAAAAATCTAGAATTTCAATAGTTCAGTAGTTCAAATTCTGATATCTTCTGTGATTAAATAGTGAACCGAAAACCTTCAAACTTTAGCTCATGGGACATTCTACCAGAAATGTACATGATCTGTCCTTGACTTGTTACAGTGAATAAAAAGTATTACATACAAAAAATGTCTAAAACTGACTGATGGTTGATTTCTGTGAGTTGTTCTGTAAAGGAATATGTCATTCATTAGGTTCTCAGATTTTTTAATTTATTAAAAACACTTTTGAAAATTACAAATCCTGTCCTTGTCCTTGCCCTCAGCCAAATTGGACCTACAGCTTTCATAGTTTTGTTATGCTAAAAACTGTTATTTAGAAAAAAAACTCCATCAATAGCAAGTTTAAGTTGTTATCATTCACATCAACTGATTAAAAACATGAAATTATACATAAATTCTACAAATAAATACTATTTTACAACTGTCCCCATGTTTTCGGTCAGTCCTGTCACGTTTACATAAAACTCAACATAAAATGTGTGTAATGCGCCTTTAAAGGTATGACTCAAAGGAAGTGACATAATTTGACTGAGGTGAAGCGGACACTGAACAAGGGTGAGTTCTGTCATGGAATTGTATGATTTTAAGCTTGTTTTTGTATGTTTTTTTTAGGAGGACGAGCTAAAGGGTCAGGCCCTGTCACGG